AACAACTCTATTAATCCTGACTTAATGAATAAATACTAGTATTCCTATATGGCAAAAAACAATGACAACAACAAAATATTTATAACCAACAAAAGGCTTCTATACAGAATATATAAAGACCTCTTACACCACACACTGTACCCCAGAAGTGCATTAATGTACATAGTTACCATTCAATAAAAAAAAAAAGACCTCTTACAAAAAATGAAACAAAGATACAACCCAATAGAAAAATATATAAAACACTTGAGCAGGTGCTTCACAAAATAGTATTCCAAATAAGTAACAACAATTAATATGTGAAAAGGTTTTCAACTCCATTAGTCATCAGGGAAATGCAAATTTAAGTCACAATTAAATACCACTATACACTCAACATAAAAGGTAGTTAATAAGATGGATAGTACCAAGTATTGGCAATGAATGTGGAGAAATGAAAATCTCATACACAACTAAAGAATGCTAAAATGGATACAACTAGCTTGGAAGATCAAAGTAGAACCTGCCCATAACTCCTTGATTCAGTAATTCTGTCATCACAATCGGAAATGTGTAGATCAGTACATCCCAAGACACATATAAAAATGTTCTAGCAGCAGCATTCACAATAAACCCAAACTGGGAACAACAAAAATGTCCATCAAAAGTAGAATGGATAAATTGTTGTTTATTAATGGAATATTATTAAAATAGCAAGAGTGAATAAACAACTACTACATGCAACATCAGGAACGAATCTCACAAAAATAAGATTGAGCAACAGAAGTAAACTATAGATGCATACCACCTGTAGTCAAAATTCAGAAAGTGTTCAAAGTTAGGACAGTGGTTTCTCTGGGATAGAAGGGAGGATGCAGAGGCAGGGAGAAAGGACAAAGCAGGCTTCTGAGATGCTGGAAATTTCTTGTGGTGAATGGTGCAAAACTTAAGAGTTGTGTACTTTTGGTAGATACATTTTTGCTTCAATAAAAATTTCTGGACATTGTAGGAAATGAGGTTGTTTATCAGACTTTCATATGTTTACCTCAAAAGTATTTTTTTTCCCTAGTGTGTTCATTTTACACTCAGAGAAAAGATCATTACAGTTCAAACATGGTCAGAAATGGGTACCAGAAACCACAGCTTACCTGATTTACTCTGTTCTTTCTCCTTCACTTGCAGTTCCTCAGTGAGCCTTTGGATCTCTTCACGGGCCATCTCTAACTTCTTTGCTACTTGTACATCTACCTCCAGGCAGTTCTGTGATGTTTTATCTTGTTTCAGGTCTTCAATATAAGACTGAAATAAAACTATTGTTAGTAATAAATAGAAAAGTACTCTTACTGACATTATGCTATTTTCTATAAATGTTTGAAAGCCAATAAAGAACAGTAGCAAACAATATTTCATTTATGTGCCTTTCTTTAATTAGGTCAAACCAAATAAAGATAGTGATATTTGGCTGCTTTTTACTTATAAACATTCAATGTTGGCTTGGCGCCAGTAGCATAGTGGTTACAGTGCCAGCCACATGCATTGAGGCTGGTGGGTTCGAACCCTGCCCAAGCCAGCTAAAAAAAAAACAATGACAACTGCAAGTAAAAATAGCCAGGCATTGTGGTGGGCACCTGTAGTCCCAGATACTTAGGAGGCTGAGGCAACAGAATTGCTTAAGCCCAAGAGTTAGAGGTTGCTGTCAGCTATGACGCTACGGTACTCTACCAAGGGCAACATAGTGAGACCCTGTCTCAAAAAAAAAAAAAAATCAGTGTTATATGCTTCAACCTAACACATCCAGGAGATTATTTTTATGTGATTACAAAAAACAGAAATTTAAACTTAAAAATGAGTATCATCTTGCAAAAAATAAGAGATACTACTCTTCACTTATATGGTATATTAAATAGTTTTATGTTTTCACATAAAGTATTTCATAGTAATTTCAAGGTAGGCACACACACAATGAAGCTCATATCATGTTTAGTGATCCTCTTCTGCAATTATTTTCAAAGATTTTAAAAGCTTAGGAATTCAGTCTCAATTATATTTTGCTCTTGATCTCACAAAGAGAAAGAAATTATACACATATAATAATTACAGATTTTTCTAATAAATTAAAAAAATACCATCGACATAACACAACTTTGAACATATTAGCATATTTCTTTGCATAGTTTTTATTCGTATACATTATTTACACAGCCATAATACCAGTCTATGTACAGATTTCTATCTGGCTTTTTGATTTGATAATGTATCAGAAACATTTTCCCACATGTTGTACAGATTTTGTAATAACAGTTTTTAAAGGCTGCTCCAGAGTGGGTATAATATCACTTATTTAATCATTGAAACATTTAGATAGTTTCTTATTTTGGCTACTGAGCATAATACTGTAACATACAGTTACATCATACATATTTTGCCCTCATCTTGAATTACTTCTCATGGTTAAATTCCCAGTACATACTGTGTTCACAAGATTTATTTGTTAATAACATTTCTTTCTCCAAATCAAAAAATTAAATTCCACGAAAAGAATATATTATATTTGAAATAATGTGCTATACTAAAGGACTCCCTAAAAGAGGAGCTACAAACATATTTGTAAAGAAACATTTATAGTCCCAAGGTGATTTTTTTTTTTTTTTTTTTTTGAGACAGAGTTCACTTTGTTGCCCTCAGTAGAGTCATGTGGCTCACAGCTCACAGCAACCTTAAACTCTTGGGCTCAAGTGATCCTGTTGCCTCAGCCTCTGGAGTAGCTAGGACTTCAGGCACCCACCACAACGCTTGACTATTTTTTTTAGAAACAGGGTCTCACTCTTGCTCAGGCTGGTCTTGAACCTGTGAGCTCAGGCAATCCAGCTGCCTCGGCCTCCCAGAGTGCTAGGATTATGGGCATGAGCCACAGCACCTGGCAAAAATTAATTCTTAATGTTAATTCTTTTTTTTTTT